TTGGCATGCTGCTCTTACCTGTATTTTTTGTACCTCTGTTTGTGTGCTAAAATTTCTAAATAAATAAATAAATAAATAAATAAATTGAATTGAATTGAATATGTTGCAAGTTTTATATGAAAACATGTTGTTGAAGTACAGATTTTCATTATTATTATTATTATTATTATTATTATTATTATTATCATTGGGAGAGAGAGAGAGATTGAGAGTAAGTGTGTGAAGGTATTGATGAGTGGCATGTGAGAGAATGTTTAGTGAAGTTAACCCTTAACTGTACGTAATATTTTCTTCGTTGTTTATGGACCAGAGAGCACGGTAAATACTCCCACATCTGAGCGCGCGAGTCTCTGTACGTCACACAATACATGGTATGTTGGATATCATCTAATATAGCTGTCTACATCACGTTCAAATGCAACTTATTCTTCTTATTTATTTATTTTCGCCAAACGTTTAATAGATGGAAGAATGAAAATATTAAAAACTGAAAAAAAAAATAATTTTTTTCAACGCGCCTAGTGGAAATAAGTCTCTGACTTTTTTTTTGGGTTATCCTAGGTTCTCTACACATATGCTGCTATGTAACTATTTGTGTATACCTGAATAAACTTACTCTCCTCACAACATCGTGTAAATTTATTTAGGTACATGCACAATTATCATTCATAGTGTAAATTTGGATAACCCAGAGAAATTCAGATATCGTGACTTTTTTTTCCATTGGAGTTCTTGATATTTTAACTGTAGTCACCTGAATCAAGATTAAAATGCCTCTCAGCTCCTCCCTGACAAGAAGGAAACTCCTCTCACTTTGTAATGATTCCAAATGGTGATTTGAAAATAATTAACGTAGAAGAAAAATGGTAAAATACCAAAAATTCATTACGCATTGAGGAATGGAAGGCCTATGACGTCATCACATCACATTATATAGTTACAATTCTTCACTTTATAAATATCGTATAGAAATGAGATTTCAACAAAACTGTTTTTAGATTTTATGACTATTTTTTTATAAGATTAACTAATTTTTCATTTTTTTTTTCGATTTCATGCATATGCTGCACCGAAAATTTAATACCGGGCCCCTAGGAATTATCTTGGCGCTAAGACGCAGCCGCCATTAAAATACCGGAACCTTTCAAAACAGGTAAACCGAAAACTGAAAAATAGACACATGTGCAACATCTGGGTATCTTTATTGTAGACGTTTCGCCATCCAGTGGCTTTATCAATACAAATTAAAGGACATAACTGGAAGTCTGTAGAACTATGTAAAAAGATGAGGTACTCAGCCCCTCAACCTTGGAGGTGGTGAAGAGCACCGTAGTCTTCACTGTTGTACACACAAAATGATCAGACTTGCACCGACACACTTGCATTTCACTCTCCTCTGTCGTCGAAATTTTTAGCTCCGTCTGTGAATGTTTGAGGTTCCAGCACTGAGAACTTTGTAAATTATCTGAGCCATTCCAGGATGCTGGGAATGGGTTCAATAATTCCGGTCACAGAGAACGTGAACACGTCAGTTGTTCTAGGAATTTGCGATCCCCTTCGATGAGACATTTTCCATTTATGAGCAAAATAAAATCCAAAAGTACCAAACAAAGGAACAAAATTCAGGCAACCTCTTAAAGTTCCTCTTCAGATATAAATAATAATAATAATAATAATAATAATAATAATAATAATAATAATAATAATTATGATATTAAAGTCGCTGATTTCTATTGTTATTGTTGCTGTTGTCGTCTTTGTCCTTATCGTCATTGTTGTAGTAGTCGTTGTGATTGTTATCATGGTATATGACAGGTGATTGTTGTCATGGTATATGACAGGTGATTGTTGTCATGGTATATGGCAGGTGATTGTCATAGTATATGGCAAGTGATTGTTGTCATATTACATGACAGGTGATTGTTGTCATGGTATATGACAGGTGATTGTTGTCATGGTATATGACACGTGATTGTCATGGTATATGACTGTAGACAGCCTGTACTGTCTGCACAGACAGCTTATGCTGTCTGCCAGCTTAGTTCATATTTAGCGGCACTAAGGTGCTGCCCTCTGGGCCTGCTCCAGGTCTGTGGGAAGCTGGTCCCACACACTCTCACTCTCACAGCGGCCTAGCAGCAAGGCAGAAGGCCTAGTAGCTCTCTCCTCTCGTGGGATGGCCCTGCCCGGGCCATGGGCACAACACACAAGCCTGTGTACCAGCCACTACTACATTTGCAAAGCAAAAAGAAGCCTCCGAAGACGTTTATCATTCATGCACCCGCTTTCAGCATCACCAATTAATCGCATTAAACATTGGTAGCAGCGGTGGTCGCAGCAGTTGTGTTTGCCCGGAGAGAGGAATGAAGAGGTATGAAGTCATCTTCACTTTATCACCCTATACAAAAAGCATCCATCTCTCAATGAGTTATCCTGATGTCGTGTCTGCACGTTTCAGCATCCAGACACAGGTACAAGCAGGATCCAGCCGAAATTTACCGAATTTCTTCGAGAATTGTAAGTGGAGTCCCAGTGACCCCATGCCACAGCGTCCCACGCTGTTTCTCAAGTCACGTGTTCAGCATCACTTGTATGTTGCTGCTGTTGTTCAGCTCAGCACAGCTGTTTCAGCAAGCCAGAGGTGAGTTTTGTGGTGATTTCTGCGTCCAGTGCGAGTTTCTCCACGTGTTTGTAGGAGGGAGAGGAAGTGGCCGTTTCCTCGCCTCACCCACACTCGCCCTACTCACACCTCACCAGCCTACCACCACTATGTGCATCACTCCCTCTGCTGTGTTTTCTGCTGTTTTCCGTGTGAAATGGTCACCAGAGCTGTGTATCCGAGTGCCCGAGGCCACTCGAAGCTACGTGGATCAGCATGCCACATAGATTAGCAAGCCACGTGGATCAGCAAGCCACGTGGATCAGAAAGCCACGTGGATCAGCAAGCCATGTGGATCAGCATGCCACATAGCTCACAACACCACATGGATCCCGACGCCACGTGGGGTGTGGGCGATGTCACATGGATCTACGAGCCACGTGGGTTACCAAGCCACTCTCACAGCGGCCTAGCAGCAAGACAGAAGGCCTACTAGTTCTCCCTCTCGTGGGATGGCCCTCCTGGGCCATGGGCACAACACACAAGCCTGTGTACCCACCATGACATTACAAATAAAGTAAGAAGCCTCCGAAGACGTTTATCATTTACACCCCGCTACCAGCATTGCCAAATAATCTCATTAAACATGACAGGTGATTGCTGTCATGGTATATGACAGGTGATTGTTGTCATGGTATATGACAGGTGATTATTGTCATGGTATATGACAGGTGATTGTTGTCATGGTGTATGACAGGCGATTGTTGTCATATGTGACAGGTGATTGTCATGTATGTGACAGCTGATTATTGTCATGGTATATGAAAGGCGATTGTTGTCATGATATATGAGAGGTGATTGTTGTAATGGTATATGACAGGTGATTGTTGTCATTGTATATGACAGGTGATTGTTGTCATTGTATATGACAGGTGATTGTTGTCATGGTATATGACAGGTGATTGTTGTCATGGTATATGACAGGTGACTTGTCATGGTATATGACAGGTGACTGTTGTCATGGTATATGACAGGTGACTGTTGTCATGGCATATGACAGGTGACTGTTGTCATGGCATATGACAGGTGACTTGTCATGGCATATGACAGGTGACTGTTGTCATGGCATATGACAGGTGACTGTTGTCATGGTATATGACAGGTGACTGTTGTCATGGTATATGACATGTGATTGTTGTCATGGTATATGACAGGAGATTGTTGTCATGGTATATGACAGGTGATTGTTGTCATGGTATATGACAGGTGATTGTTGTCATGGTATGTGACAGGTGATTGTTGTCATGTATATGGCAACTGATTGTCATGGTATATGAAAGGTGATTGTTGTCATGATATATGCGAGGTGATTGTTGTCATGGTATATGAGAGGTGATTGTTGTGGTATATGACAGGTGATTGTCGTCATGGTATATGACACGTGATTGTCATGGTATGTGACAGGTGATTGTTGTCATGGTATATGAGAGGTGATTCTTATTGTATGAGAGGTGATTGTCGTTATGGTATATGACAGGTGATTGTCGTCATGGTATATGACAGGTGATTGTCGTCATGGTATATGATGTGTGGAGTCGGAGGCAGGCTGTGTGGAATGTGAGAAGTGAAGGTGTGTCATGTGCGAGACAGTGGGTAGTGAAGGTGTGTTATGTGTGAGACAGTGGGTAGTGAAGGTGTGTTATGTGCGAGACAGTGGGTAGTGAAGGTGTGTCATGTGTGACTCATGAGCATAACACTGTTAGCGCCTGACACTACACGAGGCTGATAAAAAATAACTCTAGGATTGTGTACACTCATTTCCATTTTTATGGCAGATGCACCAGGAGCAGCAGCTGAGGGAAAGGATTGGGGAGGAGGGGGAAGAGGAGGAGGAGGAGGAGGAGGGGGGGAGGAGGAGGGGGAAGGAGGAGGGGGAAGGAGGATGGGGGAAGGAGGAGGAGGAGGAGGAGGAAGGAGGAGGGGGATGGAGGAGGGGGAAGGAGGAGGGGGAAGGAGGAGGGGGAAGGAGGAGGGGGAAGGAGGATGGGGGAAGGAGGAGGAGGAGGAGGAGGAAGGAGGAGGGGGATGGAGGAGGGGGAAGGAGGAGGGGGAAGGAGGAGGGGGAAGGAGGAGGCAGGTTGGTCAGTAGCAGCAGCAGCAGTCAGGACTCAGCAGAGGGAAAGGACAAGGACTCCCGTCATCACCACTACGGCTACAGAGATATCTTCTTCGTAATATTCACTATGGTACACAGTGAAGCCTGGTTGCTCCAGTACATTACCTCCAGGTAATCAACACAACCTTATCGTTCACCCTTATACCCGCACATACACACACACACATACCTCCAGCCAGAAATAGGTGAGTACACACACACAAAGGTAGGGTGATTTTCTAGGACATTGTGATACTGGCAGTTTGAAGGGACTTCTAACCTGTCTTTTGAGCGCCTCTGCAAACACAGTGATTATGTATGAGTGATGGTGAAAATGTTGAATGATAAGTTTTTTTTTTTTTTTTTTTTTTTGGTCACCGACGGCGGCCGACGTGTAAAACAATTACAAGTTTCTGTTTCACATTCATATATATATATATATATATATATATATATATATATATATATATATATATATATATATATATATATATACATATATATATATATATATATATATATATATATTCCTTCTTAAATGATCCCTTCCCTTAATATATACTAATTAAGGTACTCACCATCGAGTAAGTCTCTGATCTTGTCCATGTAAATCTCGAAGTACGACACCTTGATGTGGAACTCGAGCGCCTCTTCCATATTGTAGATGTGGTTGAAGATGTCATGTACGATCCTCGGGATGATACCTGAGGAGGAACAAAAGAATAAGTAATAATATCGTAACTAAAAGAATTTACATCTATCTCAGAAATTGGAGACGAAACTAGACGTTCTGGAGAGCCCTGAACTATTTACCAAGTCGCACGTTTTTCATATCGGTCCTGGATCGAAACCTAGGCGAGTTTTGTCTCATATTTTGAGGAGTAGACGGTGAAGATACAGTATGAAAAGCAGTTAATATAAATACTCTAGACCATGCTTAAAACTTTTTCAAGTGAAACTTTTCAGCTTAAAAATAAATTAGTGGAACCTTATCAAAGAAATGAAAAGCAAAGAAGCTGACAAAGCGTATTATTCCATAAAGTTCCTCATATTGTCAACTTAATTCATTACAATTTCACATTATAGTCATAAATGACACATTATATATATAGTTTAACTCAGGGGTCGGTAAGATTCGAACCTGCGAAGCGACAGTCAGAAAACTAGGCTAGTGCGTTACCAGCTGTACAAGGGCTAAAACAGCCCATTCACACTAAGATCCTTACTAAACTTCATGTTCATGTAATTACATGCAATGACCATAAAAAGACATTTAATATGCATTGAGTAACATTAAGACGGCCATAATTCCTGAACCACGAGAAAAAAAATCAGATGTTGATAAAATGAATTTAAAAATCAGTGAGAAGGGTGATTATCAATTGAGGTTACACGAGACGCTGCTGTTTCTTTCTGTAACAGAACATATTAAATCATGATAATTTCCAGCTCTCTTTAAACATCTTAATTTTTTCACAGTGAAATTTTGTAAATGTATCTCAACCTAATCCTCAGACGCCCTTTCATTAAAAAAAATAAAATGGATGTACAGAACAGACTTGTTAAAAATATATTGCCCTTGTCTACATCTCCTTAAGGATCTCACCTACAACTAGGTTTCGAATCCTGCTGTGGACCGAGAGGTAATGTTTATAAAAAATTCGCCCGTTTGCGAATTGTTAAACACACACACACATTTATATATATACATCCACTAGAATGTTTACCAAGGCCTTACGAATACAAATAATAGATGTTTTTACTAAGACATATTCAGCAGCATACTTCCCTGGTTTTCCAAATGTAACTATTGGCCTAAGACATTGGTTCTCAACTCGTGGTCTATGGAAAGCGAATAAATGAATGTTATAGGAATGCAATTAGAAGCTGAGCAGATCTATAACCCACTAAAATAACATGAACGTACATCAGTAAGTTTATGGAGAAACTTGCAATGTGAACAGACTGACTGATGTTGTAGTGGCCAGGCTAGTCTTGGTTACAAGTGCTTCTGGCAGTTGGGAGACGCAGATGATGATCAAATCAAATGCATAGTATGTAGTCAACCCTATGGTCACTATCTTAACCACTATGTGCTTAATTGTCCACTCATTGAGGAATATAGAAATAGTATAATAACCTATGTGATATGTCAAGATATCTTATTAATGAAAATAAGATACCAAATATAATAAGCAAATTTCCTAAATATGCTTTCAACAGATAAGTAACTGCAGATATAAATCCAGATGTACTTTTAGGCCTTTTGTATAGTCATATGCTTTCGCGCTATCATCCACAGGATGGATATGGGGTGCACAATAAACTAGCCACTTCCTCGGCAAAATCCAGTCCTTCGTTCGACAAAATTGTCTGACCTTTCCTGACTTAAATATTCGGGTTTCAGTAGAGATTCCTGAATTTCTTCTGTTGCCGTGTCTTTCGTACCTGTGCTTTACAAAATATCCCAAAGATCTGTGACGGTAAAAAACACGAATTATCTTCAAAAGAGAGAGAACTTTGTTTTTCAATTTGTTGTCCTCTGCCTTCTAATTGAGGTTCCTTCACTATCAGCAACAACATTTCAAACATTATTCTTGTATCACCAGAGATCAGATATCTTACACAAATAACCCGCACATAAAAGAGAGAAGCTTACGACGACGTTTCGGTCCGACTTGGACCATTGACAAAGTCACAAGTCGGACCGAAACGTCGTCGTAAGCTTCTCTCTTTTATGTGCGGGTTATTTGTGTATTGTTCCAGTCACGGTATTGTGCCTTTTTGTTATTTATCAGATATCTTATATTGCAAGAGAGATTATTTCGCTAGGGCAGAGGGAGGATGGTCCGTGTGATGCTTAATATGCCACAGACTCTTTTACCAGAGCTGTTCAGCCAATTTTGAGCTTGGTCATGACCGACTTTATTAAACTTTCCTGACGATCGTTTTATAGCAAAATTCCTTTTATGTAAAACACGAAGAATCCGAAGTGCGAGTTGATGCATTTCGGTAATGTTAATGGGTGCTCATCGCATGTAAAACACGAAGAATCCGAAGTGCGAGTTGATACGTTTCGGTAATGTTAATGGGTGCTCATCGCAATTAGTTGTAGTGATTGTACCTCATGAAAAATGGCACCATGCATGTCAATGAGTGTAGGTGCCATTAACCTCGCTGTGACCAGGTGAACACAATCAGAATAGTGACCATTTCCAGGGAAATTCCTCCAGTAGTAGATATATCCAGGTTTCCTTTAATGTAGAATGCCATTGCTATTTGGGAGCAGTTAATTTGACAATGCTTCACATACCCTTCAGCAACACCATCTAGCAATAATGAACTCTGTGCATGTAGTTGTTGGCCATGTTCATTAGTATACTCGAGAAATTGTGGGAGCAATATTCACCATAGAGCTTTGGAGGTTATTATAAAAGGACGTATAACTTTCTTGAAAGATTTCCGTGCCTTGGCTTCCTCGAGGAAGAGTAGCCCCAGCAGACTGGTTTCTATTCAAGCATCAGCCAGTTCGCAACTCTATTTACGTTTACCCATAACCCGCAGGAAGTTCATGGAGATATGCAAATTACCAAACTGAAGATAATACTCAACTTTGTATTAAAACGCAGACCTCTTACGTTCTTCAAGTCTGCAGTCGAGAGCCTGACCTGCAATGAGTAGTGTATATCGTTGAACATTCCGTGAGGATTATATACAAACATGGTGAGACTATTGCGTTCATTCGTGTGCAGGAGCACACGTCTGTGACTTGATAAAGCCCACTGTGTGGGCGAAACGTTGGCAATAAAGGATGGCATTATGCCGCATTTGTGTCTGTTTCCCATCTTGTGATCCGATATAATATTTTGATTCTGGAGTTGTCGCTCCCTTCAGTCATTAGGTAGAAACACCTGTTATACACACTGTACTACCATTATTCAACCACAACCACACGGCAACCACATCAATGTCACGCCACACCTACTCTACAACCACACTACACCTACACTACAATCACACTACATCTACACTACAAACCACACTACAACCACATCACTGTCACACCCCACCTACACTACAACCACACTACACCTACACTACAACCACACCACTCTCACCACACCTACACAACAACCAAGTCACAGCTACACTACACGCACATTACAACCACGCCCCAGCCACAACACAACAAATATACGACAAAACACAAATCATAGCCACACTATACTAAGTGCAGGAATCTAATTAATAATATATTAATACAAGTTTACATAAAAGGGGAATTATTACACGGGTAAATCCGACTTTAATTTCATCTTAAGACAAGCTCCTACTAGCTAACAGTGAGAGTAAGAAAAAATAGCCACCCCATTTAGATATCCGGCCGCCCTGTTAAAACAGCTGGCCACCTACTCCATGAAAATAGCTGGCCATCTTATTAAGATAACTGGTCATCCTATTAAGATAGGTGGCCATCCTATTAAGACAGCTGGCCACTCCATTAAGATAGCTGGCTATCCTATTGCAAAAATTGCCCCCAGTAAGATAACTGGCCACCCTATTAAGATAGCTGGCCACCTCATTAAGATAAATGGCCACCCTATTAAGATAGCTGACCACCTCATGAAAACAGCTGGCCATTATTAAGCTGGCCACCCCATTAATTTAGCCACCTCCTTAAGAAAGTTAACCACCTCTTTAGGGTAGCTGGTCACCTCTAAGATAACTAGCCATCCCAACCATTAATTTAGCTGACTATCCCATTACATGTAGCTGGGTTAGTACGATAGATGGCCAACCCATTTAAGATGTCTATCTACTCTATTACGCTGTTTAGCCATCCTACGCCCTGAGACTAGTCAGCTACCCTATAAAGATAGCTGGCTATCCCATTAAGTTAGCTGATTATACTTTTAAGATGGAAAGCTATGCCAGTAAGACAGCTAACTAATGAGATGTCTAGCAATCCTTTTAAGATATATGGCTATTCCTTGAAGATTTCTAGCTACCCTTTTAAGATAACTGGATATCCCTTGAAGATGCTTAGCAATTCTATTAAGATAGCTGGCTATTTTTTAAGATGACTAGCAACCTTATTAAGATAGCTAACAATCCTTTTAAGACGTCTAGCATTGCTATTAAGATAGCTGGCTATCCTTTTAAGATGTCTTGCAACCCAGTCTAGCCCCCAATTAAGATGGCTGGCCACCTTGTTAAGATAAGTGGCCACCTTGTTAATTTGGCCACCTCATTAAAGATACCTTGCCGTCCTGTTAATTAAAGTCGGTACCTGACCAGCCGGGTTGTGGTTGGCACGTTTGAGTGTGTGCTGCGTCCGGCAGCAGCATCCTTGTTGATCAGACCCTGTTCCACCGCGAGGCCTGGTCATAGACCGGGCCGTAGGGGGCGTTGACCCCCCAAACAGCTTTCAGGCAGACTCCAGATAGCTGGCCACCCTGTTAAGATAGCCAACCACCCCAGAATATCTTGCTGTCAATTTTGTCAAGGTTGGGAACCAAAGCAATCATAGTACTAGGGGGAGAGAACACAACTTTGTAGTACCCACAGTCAGTGGCCAGGCTTCAAACACCTTTTATTGTACAGCAATAAAGGAATGGAACAGACTACCCGCACATGTCAAAGCCAGTCATAGCATGAACCAGTTCAAGAAGAGTGCCAAAAGGTGTCTGATGAATGTAGCCAC